ATTCAAAGCCAATCCAGGCAAATAGTTCACAAGACCCTATCTCAAAAAAAAAAAAAAAACACACACACAAAAAAAAGAAAAAAGAATAGACTATCCAAAACCTGTTACAACAACAAAAGGTTTAACATGTAATTGGAGTATTAAAGAAAGGAAAGAGTGAAGTAAAATGATTGAGAATTTTCTAAAATTAATGACAAGAGACCAAACTAAAGATCCAGAAAGCACAGGGAACACCTACCAGAATCAATACAAAGATAGATGATAGATTAGATATATAGATAGATAGATGATAGATAGATAGAAATGTAGATAGATAAGACATAGATATACAAGAAGACTTAGGCATATCACAGCCAGATTGAAGACAATTAAAGACAAAAGAAAATCTTGAAAGAAACCAGAGGGGCAATAATATATTACCTATGGAGGAATAAGAATAAGAATACATTGGATTTCTTATGAGAAACTATGTATGCAAGCAAATATTAGAATGAAATATTGAAAGCATAGAAAGAAAAAATCAACAAACTAGAATCTCTATCCATTGAATTTCAGAAGTGAAGGAGAAATATAGACTTCCTCAGAAAACCAAAAATTACGGGAATCTGTTGCTCATACATCTGCCATGAGGAAACATTAAAAGAAGTTCTTTGGAGAGAAGGAAAATGAAATAGGCCAGAAATTCAAATCTCCCCACCCCCTAAAAAATTAAGAGAAAATGTCAGAGAGGGAATAAATGAAAGTAAAATAAAAACTTCTTTTTTTTTTTTTTGTGGTACTGGGGCTTGAACTTGGTGCCTTCAACTTGAGCCACTCCGCCAGCTCTTTTTGTAATGGGTTTTTTTCAACATAGGGTCTTATGAACTATTTGCCTGGGCTGGCTTGGAACCATGATCCTCCTGATCTCTGCCTCCTGAGTAGCTAGGATTACAGGAGTGAACCACTGGTGCCCAACTAAAACTTTTATGTTTATCATTCTTATTTGATCTAATAGATGACTGTTCTGATCAAAAATAGCAGAAATTATTTAGTCAGTTATACCATAGGGATAAACAGCTGAATGACAGCAAGGTTTTAAGGGATGTGAGAGAGAAACTGGGAGCACTGTTAAAAGTACCTGAAATACCCAATACTGTAGTATAGGGTGATCTGAAAGCAGGTTATTTGCAAATATAAATTATGGAGTGTAAGGAAACTACTCAAAAGTTGTTTTTTTTAAAGAAACATAATTGATATGCCAAGACAAGAGAGAAAATGGAATAATAACATGTTTAATTAAAACCAGAAAGCAAGAAAAGAAGGGAAGATTTTGTTAAAGGAAGCAAAAGAACATAAATGAATAGAAAACTTTATGAACATTGCAGATATTAAGGCGATAATGTCAATAATTCATTAATAGATGTTCTAAAACATCTATTAGAAGACATAAACTGCCAGAGTAAATAAAAAAAAACAAGATCCAACTACATATTGTATACAAGACATTCACTTCAAATATAGAAACATAGATGAAAATTAATTGGAAAAAATATCATACTAAAGCTAATTAAAAGAACATTGGAGCAGTTAACTTCAGACATAGACAAGCAAAATTTATCTGAGATAAACCTAGACAATTTATAATGACAAAGGGGGAATTCTCCAAGAAGACATAACAATCCTTAGCTTGCATGCATCTAAAAGAGAGTCAAAAACTGATGGAATTGTAAGGAGAAATTGATATATTATTATAGTTGTAGTCTTCAATATCCTGTTATCAGTAATTGATATATCCGTCAGGCAGAAAATTAATAAGGAAATAATTAAATTGAATTGCACCATCAGTCAACTGGATCTAATTGACATTTATAGAATATTCTCTCTACCAACAGCAGAATACATATTCCTCTCTAATCCCATGGAGCATTCACCAGATCTAATGCATTCTGTGTAAAAAAGCAAATATTAGCAAATTTATAAGAATAGACATCAAAGTATATTCTCAGAACACAATGAAAGTGAACTAAAAGTCACAGGAGATATTTAAAAATATTTTGAGTAAAAGGAAGTGAATACAATATATCAAAATTAGAGCAAGCAGCAAAAGCAGAGTTAGAAGATATGTCTGTTATTGAATGCACATACTAGGAAAGAAAGAATGATCTATAATAAATAATCCAAGATTTTACCTCAGGAAACTAGAAAAAGAAAACTAGTATAAATCTGAAGGAAAAAGGGAAAAAAAAAGAAATAAGAATTAGATTTAAAAATCAGTAAAATTTTAAAAAGTAATCAGTTGAGAAAACCAATGAAAATAGAAGCTGACTGTTTGAAATATTAATAAAATTGTTAAAAATCTATCCAGGTTAACTAAGAAAAAAATAAAAAGAACAAATTCTAATATCAGAAATGAAAAAAGGGCCTCCCTTCTGATCCCATGGTCATTAAAAAGAGAATAAAGGAAGCCAGGTATGGTGTTTCACACCTGTAATCCCAGAACTCAGGAGGCTGAATCAATAAGGTAGTGAGTTCAAGGCAGCCTGGATTACATAGTGAGACCCTGTCTCAAAAAGGAGTGAGAGAGACAGAGAGAGAGAATGAATAAAGGAATACTATGAACAGCTCTAGTTCCACACAGAACATTTAAGGAAGAAATTACACCAGTTATCTATTGTCTGTCCCAGAGAATAGAAGCAGAAGGAATACTTCCTAAATCATTCTATGATGATAGCATATCCTAATATCAAAAACAAAGATACTGCAAAAAAACCCCTGCAGACCAATATCTTTCATGAATATAGATACAAAGTTCCTCAATGAAATATTAGTATCCAAAATAATTTAAAAATAATTATATACAACAACCAATTGGAATTTATTCTAGATATGCAAGACTGATTCAGCATTCAATAATTAATTAATCTAATCCATTACATCAATAAGCTCAAGAAGAAAAAAAATCACATGATTATATCAATGGGTATAGAAAAACGTTTGTCAAAATCCAACACAGAACAATGAAGAAACTCTCAAAAAACTAGGAATGGTTGGGTATTTCCTCAGTTTGATAAAGAACATCTGAAAAAAAAAAAACTACAACTAACATCATCTTTAATGCTGAGTACCTAGAAGACTTCCCATTAAGGTCAAGTACATGGAAAGGATATTCCTCTCACTACCTCTATTCAACATTGTATTAGAAACTTCTAAGTAAAGCAACAAGAAAACGGATGAAATAAAAGCTGTGCATGTTAAGAAAGAGGACTGTCTTGGTTCACAGATGAAATTATTATGTGTGTCAAAAATCTAAAAGAATTAACAAAACATGTTAGAAGTTATAAGCAATTGTAGATTTGTTGCACAAGGATGCAAGTTAATGGACAAAAGTCAATTGTTTTTCCATATATCAGCAGTGAGGAATTAGAATTTGTTTAAAACACTACAGCATTCATTAATTCCACCAAATGACATATTTAGGTATAAATTAAACAATATATGTGTAGGTTCTACATGAGAGAAACTACACAATTATGAAGAAAGAAATCAAATAGGATTTAAATAAATAGATACTCAATGTTCACAAATAGGAAGACTCAATAACGTTTACATGTTAGTTATTCTCAACTTGATCTGTTGATTCAATGTTCTTCTAGTCAAAACCCCATCAAGTTACTTTGTATATATTACAGAATAAAGTTAAGTTTGTATGAAAGGGCAAAAACCTCAAATGGCCATCATAATAGTGAAAAATAAGAGAGAAACAGGAGTCTTATTGTACCCAACTTCAAGACTGTAGTAATAAAACTACTGTAATTAAATTAGTGTAATTAAATTGCTGCAATTAAGTTAGTGTTGTATTGGCAAAAGAACAGTCAAATAGATCAACAGATGAGAATACAGAGCCCACGAAATGCAGTCAACTGACCTTTGACAAAGGAGCAAGAAACAATTCAATGAACAAGATAGTTTTTTCAACAAATGGTACAGGAATAGCAAGGCATACAAAAGCTAAACCAACCACAACAAGAATCCAGCTGGCCGTGGTGGCACACGCTTGTGTTTCCATCTAGTCTGGAGACAGAATTAGGAGGAGTACTTGAGCTCAGGAGTTCAAGGCCAGCCTGGGCAACACAATGAGATCCTGGCTTGAAAACAAAGAATGAAACTAGACTAGACATTACAACTTTAAAAATATTGACACTAAATGTACAAAAGGCTTATCTGGTTCACTGAAGCGCCTAAGAACGCTGGCCCAGTGGATTTCTGGACATAGAGAGAAAAGAATTCTTATTGCTTGTGGTAACTTGTAGTCAGTATCAGAATGTTCTCATGTTCAAAAGGTACTATTTTTCTCATTTAGCATTGAAAAGAGATGTTAATCTTTGTTCAAAACATTCAGATAGGGGAAAGCTAATGATGAAATAGCCAAACTTCATCAAAATAATTTTTCCATTCATATTGCCAGAGTTTGAGTGGCAACTCCTCAAAATTCTCCCCTAGGTCCTACTCTTTTCTTCACCATCTGTGTTCTTCTGAAAGCAACTGTATACCCTTTTTAGATCTAATACAATTTGGCCTTTCACTTCTCCAATTGTTCACGCAAACTTTTTTTTTTTTTTTTTTTTTTTGGCAGTATTGGGTTTGAACTCAGAGCCTCATTCTTGCTAGACAGGCGCTCTACCACTTGAGCCACTTCTCCAGCCCTGTTTGGTGTTGGGTATTTTTGAAAGAGGGTCTCATGAACTATTTGTCTGGACTGACTTGAAACCTCCATCCTCCTGATCTCCGCCTCCCAAGCAGCTAGTATTGCAGGCATGAGCTACCAATGCCTGACCTGTTCAAACTTTATCCCCATCAGCTTGATGACAGTTTTGGTAGCTGAGCAAGTATAAACATATTTTTGAAGGTAAGAGAGGTGTGAGTGGATAAAGAAAAAATTATGGATGCTAAGACAGTAGGATTTTTTTTTCATATATTGATAAATGTAATATAATTTTCTCTTTTTTCTTTTTCATGTTTAGCCACGTCTGGAAAAACTGAAGCACTCCATGTAAATTTCAGTGAAGAGGAAATCACTTCAACTGAAAAAGGCGAAACTAGTTTTCTGGATGTCACTCCAGGAAGAAAATCAGGAGTACCTATCAGAATCCAAAATATATTACTTGATCATCAAGTACAAGAAACAATGACTGTGATTTCAACATCCTATAAATCTGCTGTCAATATCTATTGGCACATTCCACATATTGCTCTTGGTTCCTTTTTTTTCCCGAGAAGTCACTCTGCTTCTAGTCGAGTTTTTTTGAAAGAATTTAAAAAGTTAAAAAGAAAGCTACGTAAACAAAAAAAGATTCGCATTGGTGAAAATTTAGAAGACATTTTAAATTTTTCCTCAAAGTTTTCCAAACCTTTAGCTGATTCTTGCTTGATCATTGCTGCCCAGTTAAACAAAGAGCACCCTAAGTATCATTGGCCTTTACCAAAGACCACACACTATACTCATGACCTCCCTCCCTCTCAGAGAGGGCGCAGTTCAACATTGCTAAGCCACAGGCCTAGTAGTATATCTACTAAAGTAGAATCACAGAAGTCTAACGTTGTTAATAAAATGGCATTAGGCATTGCTCAGTTTCCAGGAATCCTTGATCTACCAACACAAACTTTACCAAGAAAACCTCGAAGACAATCTCAAATAGGTAAATATAATCAGATCTTGGTCTCTAATAATGGAGTAAATTAGAGCAAAGGGGAGAGAAGAAATTTAAGCAAGTGGTTCTCTTTTCCCTGGCTTTTGGGGTAGAAAGACAGAACTACCTTTCTTGTTTACATAACACCTGATCAGAGGGCAGTAACAAGAATTCTGACCGTGCAGATCTACCAAACTGGGTACCCCATCCAAATGGTAGTGATGAAAGCCAATAAGGAAATTCAAAAGTTCAGAAAAACTAATATAAAGGATCAGTGAGGATGAACAATAGAAGGTGGTTTAATAGAATGCCAGTGCTGATGGATGCCTTCATGGATACATTTCTATGAACCATCCCAATTTGTTAAATGATGAACAATGATAATAAAGTCATAAGACTCTCAAATGAATTTCCACAACTATCCAAAAGTTGTTTCTTTTTCTTTCTTTCTTTTTTTTAGAAAGTCTTGCAGAAAGTAGAAAGGCAGAAACTGTCCGAAGACGAAGTGAAGGTAAATGCTAGGTATACCAGCATTTTTTAGAACTATATGTAAGATCATCTCTCTGTACAAGTATTTGTAATTTTTTGTTTGTGTATATATATGAGTAATTCACACGTCTCACCTCATTTTCAGTTTCTTAAGACATTTACTCAGCAATTATTTTTAAGTATTAACCATGAATCAAATGTTGTACTAATGTTGGAAATATAAAAGTTGATTTATTCTTTTTGCTTATTTATTTGTTTGTTTTGCGGTGCAGGGGATGGAACTCAAGGCCTTGCACATGTTAGGCAGTACTCTTCCACTGAACTACCTCCCTCCTGAAAACTGATGCATTCTTAATTTGGATGGGCAAAAACAAATGCAGGCAGACATGCATTACTAAGAGTTAACTACATGCCACATGTTGGACACTGTCCTGGCAGAAATGAATGAAAAACCATATATAAAGACCTTGCATTTATCTTTAACAACAAGCTCATGAAAATATAGTATGTGGCAAATAATTTATAATAATTAGGCACACAAAGAGAAAGACAAAATAAATGAAAGCTAGCAGAAACATACACACAGGAGTGTTAGGTATTAGAATTATCACATAGATTTTTAAATAACCCAAAGACTTCTGGTTCTATCCATGACTGAATAACTTCTATTAGACTAACCTTCCAGCCAAAATCAACTACTAAAGCTGCCAAAGTGTACGTAAAATGGCCCTTAAAGGCACCAGAACGTAAGCAATGGAGGTATGATTTCAGTGGCTACAATACCTGAAAGAAGGGAAACTCAAAGTGTAAATAGCCCCACCTCAACCTCAGTGTTTTGCCTGCTGCCATTTGTGCTGTGGGAGAATAGAGTCCAAGTAGAAGGTGGTAGTTTTAGTGGGTTGAGGACAAAGACATCAGGCTTCAAAGCTGCCAGGGTATTTGAGACTTGGAAAGCAAAATCTTGCAGAAAACTGAAGGGAAGTGAATCTAAAAACCTGAATACAAATTCCCTTAAAGATGCCAGCTGATTTCTAAGCTGTGCACTGGCAATCCAAAATTTTGAGAAACACAGCAGAAAACAGCCGAGAAGCTAAGGAATTGGGCATAGACTTTTACTGTTGCACAAGAGACGGGTATGGAGTTCAAACTCTGCCAAAATAGAGGGGCCTTTGTGAGCAAGCTGGGATTTTAAATGAAGACCCAGAGGACCTATGTATTAGGACTAAGGATGATGTAGAACAAAACTAAAATATACTAGTCCCAATAAAGCTCAAAACAGGCCCTGAATAAATCAAAGAGATACTTTCTGACTGATTGAAGACAGCCTAAAACTTGTCAAAGACAGAGAATTATCCAGTCTTCTTAAAACTGTTCCTTCACAAGTTCAGCATTCAGTTAAAAAAAAAAAATCACAAAACATCAGCGTGCTGGAGGATCAAGAGTTCAATGCAAGCCTGGGCTCCATAGCAAGGGCCTGGTCTCAAACAAAACAAAACAAAATCCTTTAAAGTCTGAAAACAGACACAACCCCATAGTTGATTCAGATATTATAGTTTCAGACAGGGGTTTAAAAATAGCTATGATTATTGTCTTCAAGAAAATAAAGAAAAGGTTAGAGAATTAGTTTAAAAATATGAGTCAAGGGCTGGCAGAGTGGCTTAATTTGTAGAACTCCTGCCTAGCAAGTGTGAGGCCCTGAGTTTAAGTCCCAGTGCTGCCAAAAACCCAAAACAAAAAAGTCAAATAACATTCTAGAATAGAAAAAAAAATAATACAGCATATTAATATTTCTCTCTCTCATATATATATATATATATATGGGACTGGGGTTTGAATTCAGGACCTCAAGCTTGCAAAGCAGGCACGCTACTATTTGAGCTACACTCCAGCCCCACAAATTAATATTTTAATAGCTGTATTTAGCAGGAGACAATACTCCAACCATAGGGCTTTCTGAGCCCACCATTCCTCCCAGTCATTTGGTATAATTTTCTGTGACATGAATTAACTTTTGGGTCTCCTCCCAATTATAAGCTTAAACAAACTGTTTAGCCTAATAATGATTTCTGTTATTTAGTTTCTTTCTTTCCCCTCCTCTGGTGATACTTGGGTTTGCACTTGTGCTTGCAAGTGCAAGTGACTCTACAGCTTGAGTCACTCTACCAGACCAGTAATGAATTTCTGATGTTTCTTTCATTGGACAGTTAAAGACAAGTTTAAAGATCCTCAGATCCTTTAGAGATCTAACAGTGAATTTCTAATCATTCCCTCTTTACTACTCAAAAACCAACTGCATGGCTTTAGAGCCTGAGGGTGGGTGAGCAGGGGCAGGCCACAGTCTTATGTCTTAACTCACTTTCCTATCCTTCTTGCTCTATTCCCTTTCCCAAGAGCAGGTACCTGTATATCATGTCATGCATATTTATTCTGTAGTTAACTTTCACATCTATTGATTTGAAATGGGCAGTCTGTTTCAGAAATTAAAAGCTGAACATTTTTATTGTGGCTGTTCTGAAATACTTTATTTCCACTTACTGAAGCAATGATATACGAATTATTGAGATTTTAAAATATGTTGCTGCAAGTAATTCAGCAAGAATGGTTGCAAGTTTAAAATATATTTTTTAAAATGTCAAAATATTTTTCCAGCCACAATTTGGTGTATGCTTGCATAAACCTTTTTTTTTTTTTTTAATGATATACTGAGGTTTGAACTCAGGGCCTACACCTTGAGCCACTCAAGCAGACCTTTTTTCTTTATGATGGGTTTTTCTTCAAGATATGGTCTTGCAAACTGTTTGACCAGGCTGGCTTTGAAATGTGATACTCTTAATCTCTGCCTCCTGAGTAGCTAAGATTACAAGCATGAGCCACTGGCACCTGACTTCCTTTCTTTTTTTTCATGGAATCTACAAACTGAAAATTAAAATTACACAGGGCATTTGAGTCATGCATCAATCATGCCCCTTGGGAGATGATGTCTGAGTTATGTTCTTATGATGTCCTTTATTAATTCTGTGAGCCAAACAGTTGTTTATGTAATTTGTGAATTAATAAAATTTTTCAAGAAAAAATTTACATTCAATACAAAAAACTGAGTTTGACAGATTTTAAATTAGTCAGGTAGAAATCTATGACCAGAGATTTTATTTTTGAAAGACAATTGCACCATGTAATATTTAAAAAGGAAAAACCCCAGAGCAACACCCAGTTTGGCAAACAGAGCAAGCTGTGATTGTGTGGATGAAGGATGTAGGAAACCGTTTCCAGAGGATGTATGTAGCGAATCTTTTTGGTAACTCATTTTTATGGTAGCTTAAGTGTCTTAACTACCACTCTAAGCAATAACACATTTAAGTTTCATGCTTTGTTTTGCTTGTTTATTTAGGTTTCAGTAAATATAGAAAGCCAGAACCAGAAGGACATATTTTACGTGGTGAAGGTTTTAGGACTGTGGCGGCAACACGTTATGAAACAATAATGGCAATGGTCAACCTGGCAACAGCCAGCTGCCAAGTGCATGGAAGAAACGCACTTAGTCTTAAGGTACGTAGAGCTTGTTAACAGCAAGGTCATGCTGTGCTGTCAGTCATCTTTCAGCTTCCTAACGCAGGTTAGTTTCCATGGTTTTGAAGGAGTCTTTCCTACTGTAATAGACATTTCCCAGGAACATCTGCAAATTATATTCTTAAATCTATCTGTCCTAGTCTGCCTTCAGCCCACCAGCTAAATTTAAAAAGATGCTCGGATCCAAAGCAATTACAGTGCTTTTTTTCATTACTTTAGCCCGGTTAGAGAAGTGGATTTCCAATTTACCATGTTTTTAAGTCATCAGTAATCTTTGGACCTCGTGTCAAATTTAGTACTAGGCTAGCTTCTCATGAAACATAAGCCTAGCATGATGAATAATAATAGTTCTAGTTACCATTTATTAAGCACTCACTGTGTCCCAAGCAAACAGTACTGAAACTTACAACTCTGCCAAGTACATATTATAATCTTTGCTTAAAAGATGAAAACGCTGAAGCTTAGTTACACTAATTTGGATCCAGAACTCATTGGACTCAAAAATCTATATATTTGATTAAAAAAAAAAAACCACCAGTGGGGACAATTTTGGAAGTTCCAACCAATAGCCAGTGGTGTATGCAGTACTTTTTCTATATCAGATTTAGTGGTAAATACAAGTCTTATCTTTTTCGACAGTCAAATCCCTAACCAAGAATAGTTCACCAGGTAATGTGTTTTGTAACCCAGGAGGAACCTCTATCAGCCAAGCCTTATTGGTTCAGAAGATTTCTGAGCTCATCAGTTTTGTTTTTGTTTGTTCTGAGACAGGGCATGTCTTTTCTTTTTAAACGTTTTTTATTGGCATACATTAAATCGTACAATAGTAAGCTGTCTCACCATGACATTTCCATACATGAATATAAGATGGTTTGATCATATTTGCCCCTCTATTACTCTTTCCTATCCCCCCTCTTTCTTTTCCTTTTCCCTTTCCACATTCCTAGTAGTCCCCCTTTTACTTTCCTGACCTATTTTTGTTTTGTTTTCCCCTAGTTTCCACAAATGAGAGAAAACGTGATACTTGTCTTTGTGGGACTGGCTTATTTCACTTCACTATTAATTTCCATTTCCATCGATTTTCTGGGAAATGACATAATTTCATTCCTTTTTTTTGAGGGTTTGAACTTAGGGCCTATACCTTGAGTCACTCCACCAGCCCCTTTTTGTGATGGGTTTTGTTGAGACAGAGTCTTGCGAACTATTTGCCCAGGCTGGCTTAGAACTTCTATCCTCCAGATCTCTGCTTCCTGAGTATCTAGGATTACAGGCATGAGCCCCTGGCACATGGCATAATTTCATTCTTAGTGGTTGAGTAGAACTCTATTGGTATATGTACCACATTTTCTTTATCTGTTCTGGACACCTAGACTGATTCTATCATTTGGCTTGTGGATAATACTGTGGTAGATATTGGTGTACAAGTATCTCATTAGTAAGCTGATTTTGATTTTTGGGGTATACACCCAGAAGTGGTATAACTGGGTCATATGGGAATTCTATTTTTAATTTCAATTTTAACTTTATTTTTTTTTTGAGAAACCTCCATACTGATTTCATAGTGGCTACATGAATTTACATTCCCACTAGCAGGGTATAAAAGTTCCTTTTTCCCCACATCCTTACCAACATTTGTTACTTATTTGCTTGGTTATAGACATTCTGACTGGGTGGGAAGGAATCTCAATGTAGGTTTGATTTGCATTTTCCTAATGACTAAGGATGATGAACATTTTAATATATTCATTGGCCATTTGCACTTCATTTGAAAAGTGTTCAGTTAATTTGGTCATTTATCAATTGGATTATTTATCATTTGGTGTTTAATTTTTTTGAGTTCTTTACATATTCTGGATATTTATCCCCTGTCAGACAAATGTCCAGCAAAGATTTTATCCCATTTTGTAGGCTGTCTCTTCACTCTTCTGATTGTTTCTTTTGCTATGCAGAAGATTTTTAATTTGATACAATCCCATTTTTCAATTCTTGCTCTTATTTCCTGGGCTATTGGAATCCTAGTCAGAAAATCACTGCCTGTCCCTATAGCTTGATGAGTTTTCCCCTAGTAGTTTCAAAGTTCCAGGTTGTATATTAAGTTCTTTGATCTATTTTGAGTTGATTTTTGTATAGGGTGAGCGACAGGAGTCTAGTTTCAATCTTCTACATGTGGATGTCTAGTTTTCCCAGCCCCACCTTTTACTTTATTTATTTATTTATTTATTTAATTTTTTTATTATTCATATGTGCGTACAATGCTTGGGTCATTTCTCCCCCCTGCCCCACCCCCTCCCTTACCACCCACTCCAACCCCTCCCTCTCCCCCCACCCCCTCGATACTTGGCAGAAACTATTTTGCCCTTATCTCTAATTTTGTTGAAGAGAGAGTATAAGCAATAATAGCAAGGAACAAGGGTTTTTGCTAGTTGAGATAAGGATAGCTATACAGGGAGTTGACTCACATTAATTTCCTGTGCATGTGTGTTACCTTCTAGGTTAATTCTTTTTGATCTAACCTTTTCTCTAGTTCCTGGTCCCCTTCTCCTATTGGCCTCAGTTGCTTTTAAGGTATCTGCTTTAGTTTCTCTGCGTTGAGGGCAACAAATGCTAGCTAATTTTTTAGGTGTCTTACCTATCCTCATATCTCCCTTGTGTGCTCTCGCTTTTATCTTGTGATCAAAGTTCAATCCCCTTGTTGTGTTTGCCCTTGATCTAATGTCTGCATATGAGGGAGAACATATGATTTTTGGTCTTTTGGGCCAAAAATCCAATTCCAATCCATTTACCAGCGAATGATAACATTTTGTTCTTCTTCATGGCTGCATAAAATTCCATTGTGTAGAGATACCACATTTTCTTGATCCATTCGTCAGTAGTGGGGCATCTTGGCTGTTTCCACAACTTGCCAGCCCCACTTTTTAAAGAGGCTGTGTTTTTTCTTTTTTGGTACCTTTGTCAAGAATCAAATGGCACTACCTTCTTGGGTGTATTTTTGGATCTTCTGTTCTTTTCCATTGGTCTAATTTGTCTGTTTTTTGCTAATATCATGCTTTTTGTTGTCATTGTTGTTGTTACTATGGTTCTATAGTATAGTTTGAAGTCAGGTGATATGTCCACATAGCTTTTTTTGCTCAGAATTGCTTTATCTATTAATATCTTTTGTGATTCCATATCAATTTTAGGACTGATATTTTTCTATTTCTGTGAGGACTGTCAATGTAATTTTGATGAGAATTGCATTGAATTTGTGTATCACTTTTGGTAGCATGACTATTTTAAAAATATTTATTCTGCTGATCCACACACATGGGAGGTCTTTCTGTGCTTTACAGTTTTCATTATAGAAGTCTTTAACATCTTTGGTAAAGTTTATGCCTAGGAACTCAAAAACCTAAACTCCCAAAGTCAATGAACCAATAAAAAAAAATGTGCAACTGAACTAAACAGAACTTTCTCAAAAGAAGAAATTCAAATGACCAAAAAACACATGAAAAAATGCTCACCATCTCTAGCCATAAAAGAAATGCAAATCAAAACCACACTAAGATTCCACCTCACCCCTCTTAGAATAGCCATCCTTAAAAACAGCACTAACAACAGGTATTGGTGAGGATGTGGGGAGAAAGGAACCCTCATTTCTGGTGGGAATGCAAACTAGTGTAACCACTCTGGAAAAAAATTTGGAGGCTTCTTAAAAATCTAAACATTTATCTACCATATGATCCAGCAATCCCTCTCCTGGGGATATTCCCAAAGGAATGCGACATAAGTTACTCCAGAGGCACTTGCACACCCATGTTTATTGCAACACTATTCACAATAGCCAAATTATGGAAACAGCCAAGATGCCCCACTACTGACAAATGGATCAAGAAAATGTGATATTTATACATAATGGAACTTGACTCAGCCATGAAGAAGAATGAAATGTTATCATTCGCTGGTAAATGGATGGAACTGGAGACCATCATCCTGAGCGAGGTTAGCCAGGCTCAGAAGACCAAAAATCATATGTTCTCCCTCATATGTGGACTTTAGATCTTGGGCAAATACAGCAATGTGGTTGAACTTGGGTCACATGATAAGGAGCGTGCACACACGAGAGGTATGGGGATAGATAAGAAACCCAAAACATGATAGTATTTGATGTCCCCATTGCAGAGGAGCTAATACAGAAAACTTAAAGCAACAGGTCAATATGAGAAGGTGATCAGGAACTAGTCAAAAGGTCAGTTAGAGATGAATCAACTTGGGATGTAACACACTTGTACATGGAAGCAATGCTAGGAATCTCTCTGTATAGCTATCCTTAGCTCAAGTAGCAAAAATGCTTTGTCTTTCTCATTATTGCTTATGTGTTCTCTTCAACAAAATTAGAGATAAGGGCAGAACAGATTCTGCCTGGAAGCAAGGGGGATTTGGGGGGAGGTAGGGGGGGAGAAATGGTCCAAACAATGTATGCACATATGAATAAACGAAGAAAAAAACAGCTTATGCCTAGGTTTTGTTTTTAAGGCTGTTGTGAATGGAATTGCTCTTCTGACTTCTTTTTCAGTGAATTTGTTGCCAATGTATAGAAAAGTTACTATATTTTTTGTATGTTAATTTTGTATCCTGCTACTTTGATGAAATTATATATCATATCTACTAATCTTCTTGTGGAATATATAAGGTTTTTCAAGTATGGGATCATATCATCTGCAAACTTGGATAGTTTACTTCTTCCTTCACTTTTATATGCCTTTTATTTCTTTCTCTTGCCTTATTGTTCTGGCTAAGAATTCAAGCACTATACTGAATAAGAATGGAGAGGGTAGACACCCTTGTCTCATTTTTTAAAGCATTTAGAGGAAATGCTTTCAGTTTTTCCCCATTCAATATAATATTGGCTGTAGGTCTGTAATATATAGCCTTTGTTTAGATAAGGTATGAACCTTCTACTCCTAGTTTCTTCAGGGCTTTTATCAAGAAGGGATGTGGATTTTGTCAAAGGATTTTTCTTCATCTATTGAGATGATTATGTGATTTTTGTCCTTGTTTCTATTTTTATGCTGCATTACATTTATTTTCTTGTCTGAGCCACCATTGCATTCCTGAAATGAAGCCAACTTGAGCATAATGTATGACCTTTTAATGTGTTTTTGAAATTGGTTTGCAAGTATTTTATTGAGACTTTCTGCAACTATATTCATAAAAAAAATTGGCCTAAATGGGACTTCATAAAACTAAAGAGCTTCTGCTCAACAAAAGAAATGGTCTCTAAACTGAAGAGACGACCCGCAGAGTGGGAGAAAATATTTCCCAGCTACACATCAGACAAAGGACTGATAACCAGAATATATAGGGAACTCAAAAAACTAAACTCTCCCAAAATTAATGAACCAATAAAGAAATTGGCAAGGGAACTAAACAGAACTTTCTCAAAAGAAGAAATTCAAATGGCCAAAAAACACATGAAAAAATGCTCACCATCTCTAGCAATAAAGGAAATGCAAATTAAAACCACACTAAGATTCCACCTCACCCCTGTTAGAATAGCCATCATTAGCAACACCACCACCAACAGGTGTTGGCGAGGATGCTGGGAAAAAGGAACCCTCTTACACTGCTGGTGGGAATGTAAACTAGTACAACAACTCTGGAAATAAATTTGGAGGCTTCTTAAAAATCTAAACATTTATCTACCATATGATCCAGCAATTCCTCTCTTGGGAATATACCCAAAAGAAAGTGACACAGGTTACTCCAGAGGCATCTGCACACCCATGTTTATTGCAACACTTTTCACAATAGCCAAGTTATGGAAACAGCCAAGATGCCCCACTACTGACGAATGGATTAAGAAAATATAGTATTTATACACAATGGAATTTTATGCAGCCATCAAGAAGAACAAATTGTTATCATTCGCAGGTAAATAGATGGAACTGGAGAACATCATTCTGAGTGAGGTTAGCCTGGCCCAAAAGACCAAAAATTGTATGTTCTCCCTCATATGTGGACATTAGATCAAGGGCAAACACAACAAGGGGATTGGACTTTGATCACATGATAAAGCGAGATCACACAAGGGAGATATGAGGATAGGTAAGACACCTAAAAACTAGATAGCATTTGTTGCCCTCAACACAGAGAAACTAAAGCAGATACTTTAAAGCAACTGAGGCCAATAGGAGAAGGGGACCAGAAATTAGAGAAAAGGTTAGTTCAAGAAGAATTAACTTAGAAGGTAACACACATGTACAGGAAAGCAATGTGAGTCAACTCCCTGTATAGCTATCCTTACCTCAACTAGCAAAAACCCTTGGTCCTTCCTGTTATTGCTTATACTCTCTCTTCAACAAAACTAAAGATAAGGGCAAAATAGTTTTGCCTGGTAGCAAGAGGTTAAGGGGGGAAAGGGAGGGGGCAGGGGGAAGGGCGGAGAAATGACCCAAACATTGTATGCACATGTGAATAAAATAAAATAATTTTAAAAAATAAAAAATAAAAGAAAATTGGCCTATAGTTTTCCTTTGTCATTGTGCCTTTCTCAGGATAACACTGCCTTCATAGAATGAGTTGGAAATGTGACTTCTATTTGTAATATGTGGACTGGTTTGAGGAGCATTCATGTTAGGTCTACTTTAAAGATATAGAATTCAGCATTAAATCCTGCTGGTCTTAAGCTTTTCTTTTTTGGGAGTTTTAAAAAAAATTTCTATTTCTATTCTATTGCTCATTATTGATATTTAAGGTTTTATCTTCTTGGTTCAATTTTGATAGGTCATCTGTGTCTAGAAATATATCAATTTCTTTGAAATTTTCCAATTTATTGAGTATACATTTTCAAAATATTCCTTAATTATCCTATGGATATCAGTAGTTATCTGTTGCAATGTCACTTTTATGTCTCTAAAATTTTATTAATTTAGGTTTTCTCTTTCTTTTGTTTGGTTGGTTTGGATGAGGGTTTGTCAATCTTTTATTCTTTCAAAAAATCTTAGTTTCATTGATGCTTTGTTTTTTAGTTTCCATTCCATTAATGTTACTCTGATCTTTATTTCTTTCCTTCTACTAATTTTAAGATTGGCTTGTTCTTGCTCTTCTGAGACTTTGAAGTACATTATTAACTTATTTATTTGCAATCACTCTGATTTTCATAATATAAGCACTCATAGCTATAAACTTTCCTCTTAGAACCACTTTCATTGTATCCCATAGGTTCATTTTGCCTTCAGTAGTCTTCATTTTCTTTGTTTATGGAATTTAAATTTTTTTGTTTGAGTTCTTCAATGACTCACTGATCATTCAGAAAACAGTAGTTCAGTCTCCATGTGTTTATTTTCTATAGATTCTCGTCGTTCATTTCTAACTTTACTCCACTGAGGTCTGATAAAATATAAATTACTTCACTTTTCTTGTATTTGTTAAGACTTGCTTTATGTCCTAAAATACAATCTATTTTGGAGAATGTTGTGGCTGCTGCAAAAAGTGTGTATTCTGCAACTGTTGGGTAGAATATTCTCTAGATATTTGCAGAAATCCATTTGATTTTTTTGTCTGTGTGACCTATCTGTTGGTGAGGATGGGGGATGAAGCTACTGACTATTATTGTATTAGGGTCTATCCATGCTTTTATGTCCAGTATTGTTTAGCATATATGAATATGCTTACTTCTGCTTCTTTTGGGCTCCATTTGCTTGAGATATCTTTTTTCCTATTCTTTCACTTTAAGCTGTTTTTGTCTTTGCCAGTAAGGTGTGTTTCTTGTATACAGCAAATGTTTGGGTCTTGGTTTTTTTAATCTAATCTACCAGTCTGTGTCTTTTAATTGGAGGATTGAGACCATTAACATTTGGAGTTATTATTTCAAGTTATTATTGAAAGTTATATATTAATTCCTGTCATTTTAAAATTTTTGTAGTGTTTGATTCTTTCTGAATACTGATTTGCTTATCTACTCAGCTAATGAGATATGTTTTTTCCTGTATTCTCATGGCTGTGTTTATCTTCCTCTTTTGTGTGTAGGATTCCTTTAAGTATCTTCTGTAATAAACTTGGGTGTGTAGGTGCCTGTGTAGTAACCTTCTTTGTTACTGTTTTTACATTATGACTCATCTACCTTATCTTCAAGTCCTGATATTATGTTATCAACTAGATCCAGTCTGTTGGCATTTTATTTGACTTATTGAGCTTTTCATTTCCAAGTGATCCTGTCTCTCTGCCTGCAGATCTCAGCACTTCCAAATCCTTCTTAGCAGTTAACCACCCTGTGGGAGGGAGGATCCTGGAGGAATGGAGTGATCTTTAGGACCTGATCTCAGAGCCCTCTATCCCACCTGGCAGCCAAACCACCCCAGCTCCCAGAGGCTAAGCAATTCACCAGCCACAAACTTGGAGCTTTGTTTCTGCAGTGATCCTTAGATGGTGGCATTCCCTCCTTACCAGAGGGCAGGGCCATCAGCCACTGTTCCCATCACTGTCTGAGCTCTCTGCTATTTAAAACTTGTCAGCAGGTCCATGTGAGAACCCACCCCCACTCATGACTATCACCTATCTCCAACCTAGAGAAGTGTAGCATGGTGTCCCCTGGCTCCCTGAGGTGTAATTGTTTTTGTTTTCAGTTCTCTAGAGTATCTTGGACTCAAACAATAGGTCCTCTCTCATGATGGCATCTGGGTATAGCTCTCCTACATATGGGGAGCGACAAAATGTCTTCTTTAATGTTGGCCAGCTGCACAGGAGGAGCCACTGTCACACCAGACCCCTGCAGCACATTTAAGGCTTCACCATGACCAGCCATAGGGAATTTCTTGAAGATAAACTACCCCACTAACAACAGAAAGCACATTAATCCCTTCACAAGAATTCAAATTTCTACCTGTTTTATATACCATTTTTATTTTCAGCAGGAATTGGTGTTGTCAGGATTTCAGCTCTCAGGGGTTCAATGGTTTTTTAACCTTTCAGGATTGGAATCTGGGGAGTTTTAACTTTTTGGGATTTCAATTTTTTGGGATTATGGCTTTAAGAATTATGATCCATACTAACAAAAGTTATTAAAGTTAATAAATTCGACCAAGTTACAGTTTACAAAAATCAGTGTGTTTCTATACACCAGCAAAGGAAATTTCTAACAAGATGCTCCTATTTACAATCATAGTCAACAGAAAAAAAAACAGGCAAAATACATGAAAAGATAGTTCACTGAAACACATTACCCTTATAAATATGAAAATATGCTTGACCTCACTCAACATAAAAACAATACAATTTTAAACTACGTAGAAAGCCAGACATGGTAGTAAATGCCTATAACCCAGTACTTAAAAGGCAGAGATAAGGAGATCACAAGTTTAAGGCTAGTCTTGGCTACATAGCAAGACCCTGTCTTAAATAAATAAAATAAATAAAACTATATAGAGTTACAATTTCTCCCTGAACAAATTGGGAAAACTTTGACAGAGTACCTTATGGGTGAGGTTGTAGTATTGCCATTAAAAATTCAAAATGTTGTATTCATATGGGGAGAATTTGCTGTTAATAATTAATATCCTTTGTAATTTTCCTTTAGGGATTTTCTCTCCAGAATTGTCCAGACTTAACACCATTGGCTTCTCAATTGATATATCTTAATTTATCATATAATGATCTCAGTAATTTTCCCACAGAAGTGAGTTCATTTTTGTTACTATATATATATGCTGATATAATTTATTGCTGTGAATAATTGTAATAAACAGTAGACATCTTATGATACCCTGAAGTTACTATTTGGATTGCATCCCAAAAGGCTTATTTTTAGAAAAGTATAGTATAATTTCCTTTTGAAGTCCCATGATATAATACTCAAAGGCTGTGTTGTAGTCAGGCTTTCAAATACGTCCTCATAATCTTTCAAAGTATAAAAAGTAATTCATTTTTCTAATTCTGAATAAAATCTAAAATAAACATATTCATGAGGTAATGAAAGCTCTAAAAAAAAAAGTTAGTGACAGGTATTGTTGTTGTAAGACTTAATTACCACAGGCTAAAATAAGACATTCTGCTTAATAAAATGTATTTATATATATATATATATGACCTAATTTATGTCATTTCAAATAAATGAAATATTATGAATAATTAGGGTGGATTTTGTTTTCAGTATCTTCGGTGACTATTTCATAAGTCACTGATTTGTCTTGTGAATTGACTTCCATAGTATTGGCTTTCAGTGAATTGACTTTTCACAAATTGGCCTTCTTTCTGTATCATATGTATAATATTTAAAACATTTGTTTTTCTAAGAATGGACAAAATGCCTATTTCATGAAGCTGATGCTTTAGTGGGGCCAGATCATTCACATGTTTATGTGTGGTACACCCTGTGAGAAGAGCTATGAAGAATAATACAAGTGAAAAGAACCAAGAACAATAATATATTCTATTTTCACTTGGAAAAATTACTTTTTTCTTTTCTAATACATGAAACTAGTTTTATTAATTTGTCTAGGCCAAATTGGTAAGAATTCTCAAGGGATATAAGGGTCCCATTCTTCGTGCTAATTTAATCTTTCTTCTTTTTTTTTTTTGTGGTACTGGGGTTTGAACTCAGGGCCTACACCTTGAGCCACTCCATCAGCCTTTTTTTTTTGTGATGGGTTTTTTTGATAGTCTCACTATTTGCCTGGGTTGGATTTGAGCATTGATCCTCCTTATCTCTGCCTCCTGAGTAGCTAGGATTATAAGTGTGAGCCACTGGTGCCCAGCTTAATCTTTCTTCTAGGTACAAGAAAGATATAACATACAAAGTATTTTATTTACTTACTTATATATATATTTTTTGCAGTACTGGTGCTTGAACTCAGGACTTCACACTTGCTAGGCAGCTGCTCCACCACTTGAGCCACACTTCCAGTCCCTAAAATGCTCATTTTTAAATCAATGGAACTTTTCACTAAAATGCAGATCTGTGTTACATAGCTGTAGCTAAAATATTCCAATGATGGTGGTAATATACAGGCATAATAGGCTATACTGTGAGGTAAACTACTTATTCCTTGTTATTAGCATAGCATAAAGATAATGAATAGAAACCAAAACTAGATACTGTAGAATGGAAAGAATGGTATGTCTTATGAGTATAGATGTAAAAGTCCTCAAAAAATGCTATCAAATCATATAAATATTTTACATCATGAACAAGTCAGGTTTATCTCACAAATGCATAGTTGGCTCTACATAGGAAAATCAATCAATATAATAATCCACACTGACATACTAATGGAGGAACAAACCACACAATTGTGTCAATAGGCACAGAATACATTTGGAAAAATCCAACACCCTTTCTTGACAAAAAGCAAGCCAACTTCCTCAATCCAGTAAAGGGCATCTACAAAAACCCCATAACTAACATCATACTTGGTAGTGGATGACTTAAAGTTTTTCTCCAAGATCAGGAAAAAGATGAAGATATCTACTCTGGCCACTATTCAACATTGCATGGAATATATAGCCAAGGCAATTATTCAAGAAAAAGAAACAAAAGTCATCCAGATTGAAATGGAAAGATTATTACATATTGTACACACATTTCAAAACATCATAATGCACCCCATAATTATGTACAAATATTTTATCTCAATAAAAACCTATATATTTATATTAAAATGTTGAAATTATATTAAATATTTTTATTTAAAAAAGGAAAGGAGTAAAACTATCTTTAGATGTAGATAACCTGGTCTGGTATATAGAAATACCAAGAAATCCAGAAAAATACTATTAGTACTCATGAATGATTTCTGAAAGGTTGCAGAATATAAATTCAATATATTAAAAGCAATTACATTTCTATATACTATCAATAATCTTTTTTGTGGTACTTGGGATTGAACCCGGGGCTTTGTACATGCCAGGCAAGTATTCTACCATTTGAGCTATGTCTCTAGTCCCCAACAAATAATCTTGATAATAAAAGTAGGAAAGCAGTTCTATTTAATGTGAAAAAGAACAAAAAAATTTAGGAGTAAGGTCAATAAAAGTGCAAAACCTGCATTGTGAAATTTACACATTGTTGACAGAAATTAAAAGACATACATAGGGAACAAACATTCCATGTTCATGGGTCTTAAGACTTAATATTGTTCAGATACTATACTCCCAATGAATCTATAGATTCATTACAATCATAAAAAATTATAGCTGCCTTTTTGTTTACAGAATTTGACAAGCTGATCCTAATATCCATGAAAATGCAAGGCACTCCAAAGAGCCAAAACAATTGTGAAAAGAAAAATGAACTTAGAAGACTCATACTTCCTGTTTATAAGAATTAGTATGTTGTACTCCACCAAGTTTGGAATTTTATAAAAATAAAAATATCATATGTAATGCTAGAAAGAACCTTCTCTATAAAATTTTCTTAAGATATATTAGGGAGCAAAAATATGTTAAACAAAGGTCACAAATTTAAATGATAGATTCTGTTTTTAACTTTACATGATAAAAAATTACAGTAACATCTCAGTGAACATACTCTGCTATGACACCTGACATGTCCTGATCACTAAGGTTAATTTCACTTATCTTCCTGGTTCTGCAGATAACTTATCCCTCCTCCTTCAATTTTTCATGAGTGCCTTACATGAACCTTTGAGCTTGATAAGGAAAAAAAGGATGACCTTTCTCCTTTAGAAGTTGAGTCAAGCATGTATGCATACAGTAGTTTCAGTAACTCACGTACTCGTACATATTAATGCCAGTCTCTTGTTTTGAAGGTTTACTAAAAGTATGGAGATGCATGTATATATATTGCAATCTATATTGCAATACTGAGTCTATGAAAGATCACAAATAACTTAAAGGATGACGCTATTATTTTATCCATGTTTGTTTCTCTTTTCTTTCCCAGGTGTATTGTCTTAAAAAGTTGCAAGTATTGATACTGAGAAACAATCCCATCAAGGAAATTCCTTCTTCAATTAAAAAACTTAAGACCCTTAGAATTTTCAGCATTGCCTTTAATTTGATTCATGATCTTCCACATGGGTAAGGTTGATTTTCTGTGATTATAAACACAGAAAATAAAGAGCTCGTAATTTAGTAAATAATCAGTTTCCCTTCTGAAAGTAGCTAAAAGCTTTTTTGACTAATTATTAATTCTTATCCTGTTAAAATTAGCTAATTTGCTTCTTATCATGGTATTTAAAATAATGATACTAGCTACACAGATGGTAACTAGCATGTGTCTAGTGATGCACATCTAGACATCTATTGTCTGAGTGTGGATTGAATGAACCCAGATCTTCTAAAGCAATTCAGGTGAGACTCTTGCAACTATCCTTTGATGTCATTTTTTGATACAGAAAGAGTACTGAACTTGGAATTAGAAAAATCTAAATCTTTGCCTTTAAAGTTAACAATAATTATGTTTTTTTCTGTAGAAAATAACTTAACCATTCTTGAACTCAATGTTTTAATCTATAAACTAAGGAGATTGGCCTATATTATATCTAAGGGCTGTTCAACTCTAATAGGAATGCTGATATGTGGGTATATAAAGATGGATTTCTTGCCACATATGAACTGTTATTTAACTCCTGATATAAGTTTTAAGCCCAAAACCATAACCAAATACCAGAACCAGATAATTCCTCCAATTAGAGTTTAACAAATTGAATGTATGTTAAAGGCATCTGTGTGTACATGTATACATATACATACATAACTAAATATATTTTTATACACAGAACTATGTAAATATATGTATATTTATGACCACATTTAAACATAATTTGTACTAGATTATAACCATAATATCATACTTTAATCATAACTGTCACTTCAAATGTAAAAACCCTGGTTAGGTATGGTGATTGAGGCCTGTAATCCCAGCTACATGGGAGGCATAGGTAGGGAGAGTATAGCCAAGGCCTGCCCTAAGTGAAAAGTGAGACCCTATCTAAGAATAAAAAGGGATGGAGGTATCACTCAAGAGGTAGAGTGCTTGCCTAGTAAGCATGAGACCCTGAGTTCAAGCCCCAGTACCACAAAAATAAGTAAAAATCCCAAAGCAACTAAAATTTGATCATAACTAAAGGGCCAACGTATTGTTCAATTTAGTATGAGCTGTTTTTAATTTAAAATGTTTTAAGGTACTTTAAGAATGTATTTCTAAAACAAAGCACTGTATTTTTTGTTAAATTACATTGGATGTGTATGCATATCAAGGAAAGATAGCAGCAAAGAATGAAAAATGAAATAGGAAAATATTATTGACCTCAGAGACAAAGCAACCTCAGATGTAAATGTAAATGTTTATTTGCAGCGTTTGTTAAATGAAAACTCACCTAGAGAGCAAGTATACAGTGAGGGATGAGAGTTGAATTCCTTATATTTAATAATTGTCAGAATTCTAGTTTGTTGAATGACAGGATTCAGGAAGCATTAGCTGCTGAAATGGAGTGAAATGCAGTGGACCAAACAACTATGTAAAATATTTGATATAGTTCCAGATCCATATAAATTTTGTGCTTTGGATATTATTACTGTCAAAAGTAATTACATTGATGCATTCAAATGTTATTCTTTCACCCTTACAATTAATTCACCAGATATTCATGAAGTATCTACTGTGTGTTCCTAGAAGCTCACTACCTATGAGGAAAGCAGACAATTGAATATACTTAGTAAAGTAAAATAATGGAGATGCACATTGTGAAGATTTGTGAATCCCAAAGAGTGTCATGTAACACATTCTGGAGGGTCAGAGGTGACTCCCTGGAAGAGATAAATCTTGACCCAAGTATGACCATTAGTTAGCTAGGTCACAGAGGAGAGGGCAAGATACAGTTGATCCAATGTTAGGATGAACACTTCAAGGAAGAGAGATGTGAAGTGTCATACATACTGTGGGTTGGGGAATACTGTTTGTTATTTTTGAAGCTTAGAGTGTAAAGCCAACTGGTGAGAAATGAGCTCCATGTGGTAAGCAGGGACTAGATTATTCAGGAGCCTTGTGATATAAGTTGGAAAACTTATACTTCATGCTGTGTGTGATGAGAAACCAATATAGGGCTTTCCGTAGGGGAGTGGCAGAGTTGTACTTCTATTTTTAGGTGGCAGTGTAGAGCATGACTATAAAGAGACAAATCAGAATTCAAGATAACCAGTTGGGGGCTATCACAATAGCTCAGGCAAGAGATGGAAAGAACTTGGGCCAGGGTAATAGTAGTGATCACAGAGCAGAAGGAACAAATTGTTGAGAAACTCAAGCAAAATCTGCAAGATCTATTACTGATGAGACATAGAAGATGTAGGGGATGGAAGAGTCAAGGTTTAAAGAAAGTTTAGGTGACTCCCAGATGTCTCATTAGAGCAAAATAATTGAATAGTGTAAAATATATTTAATACTTACAAAATACTAGGCTCTGTCCTAAGAGTTAGGTTTATATTAGTAAATGAAAGGGAAATGAACCATTTCCTTACAGGGACTGAGAATCCTGGGATGGATACAGAAAAATGAACAAACATTAAGGCTAAGGCTAAGAATGTAAAGATCAATAAGATGCCAGGGAAAATATAAATTAAATCAAGTTGATAAGAGGAATTATCTGAGAAAATGTCATTTAAGCAGAAAATTATGTCCAGGCCAAAACTAGGGAAAAGAATATTCACGAAGTGTGAATACCAAATGTAAGGCAGGTAATAATCAGGACTCTTACAGGAATTGCACAATGCCAAGCACAGGTGCAAGTGTAATGAGAGTGTGGCCTCAGGCAAGGTCCAAGAGTTTGACAAAGGCAGCATATCATGAAGTTTTAGAGGTCATGTGAAGAAATTTATATGTAAGTGCCCCAAGACTGGTATGAAGCAGGAGTGATAAGATCAAAGCTGAGGAAATTTGAAGGAAGGAAAATAATGAGTTTAGCTTTAGATTACCACGTTGGTTTGGGTTGTGTTTTCTTTTTCTCTGTTTATTGTTTGCTTTGAAACATGGTCATTTATGAAGTGCAAGATAGCCTCGAGCTTGTGACCCTTCTCCCTCAGCCTCCCAAGTACTGGGATTACAGGTTTGAGCCATTATGCCAAACTTGGGTTGTATTTTCTACTACAAAGTTAAGATATTAAACTCACAGTAGAGTTTTGTGCTGGAGATAAAGATTTTGAATGATCAGAAGATATTAACTGAAATAAGGGAGAATGTGCAGAACAATCTTCTGAGGAGATAATCCTGGAGAAACACCAGCATTTTAGGTGCCAACATTAAGAGGAAATTATAGACATAGGGGGTCTCAATTTATACAAAGAGAGCCAGGTGAAGCTAAATGAGTGGATTATTTCACGAAAGAAGGGTGACAAACAATGCCAAATGCAACAGAAAAACCCAGATTAAGGCTGAGAACAATTTCAGTGGAATGTTCAGAACAAAAGTGGGTTGAGAAAAAATGGGCAAAGAGAGACTAGTGATCATGACTATAGACCATTGTTATAGTTTGAATATGAAATATTTCCTATAGACTCATGTGTTGAGTGCTTGGTCCTCAGCTGGTAGCACTATTTTTTTTTTGTGGGGGGGTGGTTTCTGAAAACTTTGAGAGATGTGCCTAGTTGGAGGAAGTAGGTCATTGGGACCTGACTTCAAAAGTTCTATCTGGTCCTGTCCCTTTGTTACTCTGCTTCCTGTTCTCCACAAAGTGAGAAGCTTGATGTTCTGTTCAAGTGCGTGGGGCCAAGCAGCCAGAGACTGAACCTTCTGTAACTGTGAACAAGATAAATCGATAAATCGTTCCTCCTTTAAGTTGCTCTCTTGGGTATTCGGTCACAGCTGCACAAAAGTAACTAGCAGAAGGGGAGGCCAGAGGAGCTGGGGCAGAAGAGAAGGCCAGAGGAGTGGGGTTGTTGCTGTGACTAAACCTGGCCACGAGATTCTTAGGTCTTTGGAACTGGTTTGGAGGGAGAATTTTGAAGAGTTTGGAGACGTGGCCACAGAAACCCTAGAATGCTGTAAGCAGAGCTTAATGTGCAATTCTGGTGGGAGCTCAGAAGACCAGAATGCCAGTAGGAATATGGACAGTAAAAATTTTGCTCATGAGGTTTCATATGGCAATAAGGACTCTATTGGATATTGGACTAGAAGATATGTGTGTTACATTCTGGCAAAGATCTTGTGTACATTTTGTCTATGTCCTGAGACTTTACAGGAGGCTGAGTTTAAAAAGTGATCAACTAATTTAATCTGGTGGAAGAAATTTCAAGGCAGAACTCTGGAGTACTCTACTCACAGAGAAATACAAAAGTGTTTCCCTGTATTCAGCCATCAGGCACTCAGTAGCCTCTTCAGCTGTTGTCCAAGAAGACCCACCTACTGCTTGAGCTGGCAGTAGACCTTGGCATTTTCATGTGATTCTGGTTTTGCAGATATGCAGGATGCAAGAGTTGTGATGGAGGCTTCCACTCAGATTTCAAAGGAAGGCCTGGGAGGCCAAGCAGTGAATGACAGGGTTAGTAGCCATGTAGGCAGTCCCTGAGAGGGCAAGACATGAAACTGTGAGGGTGAAGCCTAACCTGCACTGGGGAACCCAGGATGTTGGAGATGTCAGGAATGTCAATATCTGCAAAGAAAAGTCACAGGCAATGAGTGAAACCAGCACAAGAGAGAGGCCATGTGGTCTGCAGATGGCAAGGTCATAGGGATGGGGCTTCCCAAGCCCATTGACCCTCACATCACACCCATGCTCCAGATGTTAGACATGGAGTTACACAACATAATGTTTTCCCTGCTCTGTTAAGATACTATAATTTTTATGAAAAACAAAAAAATAGAATACTCTACTACAAGGGAGTGGGAGTGCAATTTTAAATTGGGCAGTTAGGGTGAAACTTATTTTAGAAGGGACACTGATCAAAGTATGCTAGTCAGTGGTATAAATTTTGCCATTCAAATAAAATTTAGCAGTATTTTATAATTGTTACTCAACTTGTTTGAAACCATAGTATTAGAATTTAAATTAAGAAATATACTTTTGGGCTGGCAGAGTGCTCAAGTG